TGTGTGATTATTCAGGTCTGGGCATCTGGGAAATGAACAAGCTGTCTCTTCATCAACTATTAAAGAAATTTCTTGTAGTATGCATATTACATTTTTTCCTTTTAAAATTTATTTTATTATTTTTAAGTGTGTGTATGTACATGTGAGTATAAGTGCCCAAAGAGACCAGAGGAGGGCATCAGATCCCCCTGGAACTGAAGTTACAGAACTGAGTGCTGAGAACCAAATCCAGGTCCTTTGCAAGAACAGTACACAATCATTGAGCAGTCTCCAGTCCCAAATACCGAATTTTCTAGATTTACAAAAAGGACAGAAATAGGAGAAGGATGGAAAGAGAAAATCTCAATCCAAGTAAAAAGGTGAGGAAAACATAATAAAAACCAAGGGTAGTGGACAGATGATTGAACAATCAGGAAGTACAACAGAGAGATAAAGACTGATCATTGAGGTTGAAAGACGCTTTATCTGACTACTTAAAAAAAGTAACAGAACATAAGGGTTTTTATATTTATAAGGATAACAGAGAAAGCTACTAGAGAAAGCTATAGGGAAAGATTAAAGAATGGAGAAATAGACTCAGACTGGAAAATATACAAACCAGAACAAGGCTAATTTCACTAAACAAATACAAGAACAAGTACAAAATAGGCTTTAGCTCAGTAGAAAAAGATTAGAGTTCACTCCTGCAATCCCAACCGTCCTTAGCTAGACAGAAGGTCCACAGCAATTTGAAACTTCTAAAAACAAACTTAAAAAAAAGCAAGAAGAAAAGCGCCATGTCCTGCATGGCTCCAGGAACTGATATAACAGAGGCCACTATTATGTGCAGTTGAACAAGGAGGCAGGGTTATATACAGCTGAACAAGGAGGGGGGGTTATTCAAAGCTGAACAGAGGCAGGTTTAGCTAATCTCAGTAGGATCAGTCTCTGTAGGGATGTGGTCTTCAGGCGGTAAACAACTTGGGGGCGGGGCTAAGTAGACATTTTCCAGACACAGCTAACATTCACACACAGACCTGGGGAAGGCTTTGCCACCCCCATGAGGATGCGACACAGTAGCATCCTTGGCATGGCTGTATCCAATGTCAACAGCTCATGCTGTCTGTCACAAAGGACTTCATTGCCTCCTCTAGAAAAGAAAGAACCGGAGACGGTGACCATCACGACAGCAGGCTTGCTCCGAGCAGCATGCCTGCTGTGAATGAAGACAGAGCATTGTTATAACCGAATGTACACGAAGTCCAACCAAACTCTAAGAATTAGGACCATGCAGACTATGTATGCTACCATAATGAATTCAGAAAAATTTCTCAAAATGATACACTATAAAAATGTCATGTATTTGGACATTTAAAGGCAGTTCTAAACCCATCTGTAAAAAAAATTATGAAACTATAAAACACTTGGAATTAAAACTTAGTTGATACAGCTTATAAACATAAGGAAATTATAAACTTTGAGATCTGAAAAGATTAAAAATATAATAAGTGAACTTAATCATCCAACTTGAGAAATTAAAGAAGGAAAACTATCCCTCCAATAGAATGGAAGTTAAAGATAACATACTGAAGCAGAAAACTCACATGCAAGTCTATAGCAGCTGCAGTGCACTGGCTTAGAAGCAACAAGAAGAAAAACTTCCCACCAGGATTTATAAAGTATGTATTATGAGCAGGGACTCAAGCAGAGCGATGAAGAAGAAATGAGCCCCAGACAGTCCTACAATGTATCTGGGAGTGACAGAAGGCAGAAGACGGCACCGCAGATCGTGGGAAAACTGCACAACCAGCCCTGGACTTGGCACCCAGAACAAAAACCATCAGTCCCATCATGTGTTCTTCAAACACATACAACTTACATCAAAATCCATTGAAAAATGTGTAATGGGGCAGCAAAACAGCTCAGCAAGTAAAGGTGCTGGCTGCTACCAAGCATGACGGCCTGAGCTGTCTTCTGCATCCACACTTCTGAAAGCTGTCCTCTGCTGACCTTATACCTGTGTTATGGTACATTTGTACAAATGCTCACACAATAATAAATAAAGAAACCTTTAAAATATTTAGAGAGAAAAACCTTCTTATAGCCAGTGCTATGGTTTGGGTGCGGCTTGAAAATCTTTTGTTCCTGTGTCCATGCCTCGGAGGCACGGCCCTTGGTGTGGCATTGCTGTAGTAGCTACGTTTTCAAAAAGTGTCTTTACCCACTGTGCCATTTCACGCACCAGACACATCTAATAGAAAGTTAACTAGGTCAAGGGGCATCACCCCGAGAAGACAATAATGATGGTCTAAGGAGGGACTTCTTCAAGCTGTTTGCTGTAAAGTAAGGTCAGCCCTCGTGCTTGGCCCCTTCTGCCTATGGTCAAGGTCCTTCCCACTTCTCGGGCATGATGTAACGCAGCATGTGGAGTAAGCCTTCCCAGTATGCTGGAAACATGCTCTTAGTCCTCCAAAATTCTAAGTTAAATAAACATCTTTATTAAGTATTTGGCCTCAGGCATTTTTCTGTGGCAATACAAATAACATCAATAGATAATAAATTATATAGTGATTCCACTTTCAAAAAAATTGATGGCTGAGCATAGCGTCATATCTCTTTAATCCTAGCACTTGAGAGGCAGATCTCTGAGTTGGAGACTAGCCTGATCTACATGGCAAATCCAGGCTAGCCCAAGCTAAAAACTTGTGTGTGTATGGCCATATTCAGGTCTTCAATCATTCTACACTAGTAACTGCACTAAATGTAACCAGGTTGGATATTCCAACTACAGACTACACTTGAAGAACTATCCAGTCTAAGATATAAGCACCAACATACACACCCAAAAAGACTGAAAGCAAAGGGATGAGAAAGATGTGTTAGATACACGCAACTATACTGATGTAATGGAAATAACTGAGGGCAAAGAGTTTGGTAGAGATCGGGACTTTCTATAAGGTTGAAAAGCTTAAGCCACAGCAAACCAGTTCTTATATTTATTTAGTCACCAAATCTCAGAACATATAGTTGATAGACACAGATCTGCAGTCGTAAACTCTTAACACCTCCCAGCCAGGTTCTGAATAATCAGATAGGAAGTAGATCCAAAAAGAAAGCAATGAGTCAGGTGTGGTGGTGCATCTTTAATCCCAGCAGGGAGGCAGAGGCTGGTTCAAGGCCAGACTGGTCTAGAGTGAGTTCCAGGACAGCCAGGGATACACAAGTGAAACCCTGTCCTGAAAAACCAAAACAGAAAAAAAAGTAATGAATTTGACCTAATATGTCCAATAAAAGTTCAGTAATGACATAAATATTCTTTCCAAGTAGCAAAGGAACTTTTTTAAGAAAATGACAAAATAGGGTTGATGGGATGGCTCCGAGGGTAGAGATGTTTGCACACAGACCTGATATCCTGAGTTCAACCCTGGATCCTACAGGGAGGCAAGAGTGACTCCTGAGAGTTGTCCTTTGACCTCCACGAGTGCCAGTGGCATGTGGGCCATGGCATCTGCATGCCTGCACATTTACACACATGCACCCCATACGTTTTAAAGCAGCAATATATGAATTCAAAATTTAGCTCTCATTCTTGAGTGGTTCAAAGCTGAGCTCAGCTTAGTGATTATTCAAATGGTTGGCAGCAATCGGTCAGCAAAGCCTTCAGCCATCTGGAAATCAAGCTGATCCACGCGGAGATAACACTCAGGCTTGGGAGAAGCCAACCCAGGATAGAAACCAAGACGGATTTAAGATTCTCTTTATTACACTATGATTTGTGCACAAGTGCACACACATGTGGGGCTCATTCTCTTCCTTCTACCATGTAGGCTTCAGGGATAGAACTCAGGTTGTGGGACTTGGGCAGACACCCTACCTACTTCCCCATCTTTCTCGCCAATATTTTTAAGTTAATAATAAAAATAGAGTCCAAAGGCCTAAAATGCATATATTAGAAAATGAAAGAACAAAATCCTAGAAAAACCAACATTAGGGATTTTAAAAATACACAACCAACTAAATCCAAAAACATAATTAATTCAAGGGCAGATTGAAATACAATCATTTGAGCCTTGAACCAGTCTTTCAAAATGCCTAAATGATGGTTTTGACAGTTTCAATAATATACTTTTACTTTTGTGGTGTAAACTAGACAAAAAGTATATTTTCTTCAGACCTTTACTGACAGCATATCTGTTTAAGAAAAATCACATCCAGCCTGGCATGGTGGCAAATAATACCTACAGTCTCAGCACTTGGAAGGCAGAGGCAGGTGGATCTGTGTTCCCGGCCAGTCTGGTTGACACAGCAAGTTCTCGGGCAGTCAGGGCTGCACAGTATCACATTAGTGATGGCGCAGCCACACATGGCATAGGCTTCCCTGTGCCCTCTGTGCCCACAGCTACAGCACAGTGCCTGATGACTGCTGTCAGTTTCTATAATGTAGTTGTGTCGAAGTCACTGCAAGCTGAGTGTGCGTTATTACAAATTCCTTTCCTTTCCGATAACAAGGGAATGTAGACTGTGACTGTTTTCAGACCTGAAACATGTTTTTATAAAAAGTTTTTTGAGAATCTGTGGCTACAGTGACTTCTGTGCTCATCAAATCTTCACACATTTAGATTTTATGGCTACATTATTTATAATATGCTACACTGGGAAGTGCTGCTGTCACTGTTCATATAGGAGTGAACTCAGAAGTTACAGTCTAACTCGCTACATTTCTGTCACTGTTCATATAGGTGAACTCAGAAGTTACAGCCTAACAGGCTACATGTCTGGGAAGTACAGTCCTGTACTTAATGCTCCTCCAGGACAGGCGAGCAGCACCCACTGCTCCAGTCCCTAAGGACCACAGACCCACACAAGGGAGGCCGCCATAAGCATTCCTAAGCGATCATCCCAGCCTCAGCAGGAGAGAGGAGGAAGGACTGCAAACACAGAGGCTAGCTTTAAAAAAACAGGGCTAGACAGTATACAAATGGGCAACAGTTAAAATAGAGACAGCTCCCAACAGGGCAAAATTCACCAAAACAATTTTTATTTCCAGTGTTTAATTGGGTATGCACACAGGCATGACACAGGTTTGGATTTAAGTCCTCATGCAGAATTATATTCTTCTCAGGAAGAAGCCAGTTCCATCCAGGATCTACTATCTACACATCTATGTTACAACATTTATATCAAATCTGGTATCTGAAGAAAAGATACACATAGAATATGTTCATTTAAGTTATTACGTATTTTACAGAAAGATTAAAAATTCAAGTCACACAAAACCCAAAAACTGTATTAAAAGTTTGATATAAAACTCAGATCCACATGGAATGACTAAAGAATGGAAGTTCTGTATCCACCTGTGTAAGTTAAAACCGGTAAATGTAATGAATTTGTTACTGATAAAACTCATTCATTTATTCAATGTAAGTTATCTAATTTCAACAATATGGCACCCTAAAAATCAAATGTACTTTTATCATGAGGCACTTTTGTTAGTGAGGAACCAAAAGGACAATTCTGCGGCATAAGCCAGCGATTTTTTTCAGTAATTTGGGGAATATACTATGTAGTAAGTTGCAACAAACACCTTGCTTATTTGTATACAACTATCTGATATACCTTTAAATATATGTGAGTGTTCTTCTGGCTGTAGTAATGCACTGTAAAGCTATTTCACAGTGCAAAATGGTGAATCCAGCCCAAACCAAGGCTGCATAATAACAATTCTGGTACAAGAAAAATATTTACAGAGTTACCAAACTGTGTAACAGTAGCCTTTTCTCTCTTGAGTGGACATACCCAGCTTAAAGACAGGGAGCAGACTCCGCCTTAGTACTGGGACTTTCAGACAGTTTGTGAGGGTGGGTGTTGGCTGCAGAACTAGCATTTTGGCTCATGTTCTGGAAGCTTTCTCCGTTTATTTGGTCAGGTGACTGTGGTGGTGTGGAAAGAGGGGGCCCGCCGGTTAAAGTCAAGGTGCTAGCAGCGCCCCTGGCTTCGGACTGCTGAGAGAGGGGTACCTGGGTGTTGGCGGGTGTGCCCGGCATGCTGGAGTTCTCGGCCTGTGACTCACGGCCTTCGCCTCGGCTCAGGTCAGAGGCGCTGGTGCGGATGCGCTCCCTGGCGAGCCAGTCTGAGATGGAGAGGTCCTGGGCCGAGCACTTGGGTTTTAACCGATTCACAGCTGACAGTTCAGACTCTCGGTCGGCATTCTGTTCGTGCGCTTTCCAGAAACTCAGGACGCTGATTTCAGTAGCATCTCTGTGGCCTCCGAGCGTGTGTCTGCGTTTGATGTTTTTCCTTTTCGCTGTCTCGGCAGTAGGTTTTTGATTCCCAACTCCGAACATGTCGTCAGCCGGTGCCCTGGGTCTCAGTTTTAAGCGATCTGCTATTTTTGTTTTCCAAGTGGCCTCCTGCTTTTCGGATTCACTTCTGCTGGGTGTCAGGAGGCTTCCCGTCGACTTGCCCTTCTTCATGACGTCAAACACTTTGGCCAGGGCAGGAGTTTCTTTCTCGGTCCTAGTGTCTCCAGGGCTCCCACTATCTGACTTGAAGCGGGCAGACTTCTTCCTAGACAGCGTGTCACATTCAATCAGCCTGTGGGAACTGAACTGCTGCCTACGGCTGTCTAAACTTGGTGTAAGGCTTCCCTCAGTGCAGCTGGCTTCACTGCCTTCTGAGTTCCTGCGGCTCACCCTGGCAACCTCCTGTAGCTTCCCTCGGAACAGCCTGTCCGAAGTCAGCGCGGTGGGGAACACGGGGAACTCGCTCTCGCTGTCTGTCTCCACCAGCCGCCCTTCACTCACCAGCTCGCTCCTCTCGTCATCAGCCTCATCCCCCTTGCTCTCTGCCACTGACTGCACCTCCGGGCTCAGGCGGCTGGAGTCCAGGCTGGTCAAGTAGGTGCCTGATGATGTAGTAGAGTAATCTGAGGTGATGGTGCCGGCATTGGCCAAAAACTCACTGTGCTTGGTTTCTGGACTGGTTGATTTTTTGGTGGACCTCGTCAGCGAAGCCTGGGAAGACGTGCTAAGCAGAGTGCCCGAGTCAGACCCCGTTTCTTCGCAGTGGGGCTTCTGCGGCAGGAGAGATCGGGAGCCCTCCTTCAGCACGGCCAGGCGACAGCTGAGAGTTGGGGACCTGTTGCGTTTGGAGCTGTGTGGTGGGGACGGCTCTTCAGATGGCATTTTCTTCTCCTCCTTCGATACAGCAGTGTCTTTCTTGGCGTTACTGTCCTTGGCAATGACAGCCCTCTGCTTTCTTCCTGATACCTCACTTTCTTTTCTGGACTCTTCTTTAATCTCACTGTGACTCTGTTCCACACTCTCCTTCTTAAAAAACACACTGTCCAACTCATCCTCAGAGCTGCTGGGCTGGGCTTTCTCCTTGGGTTTCTTCCTCTTACGACTAGCAGCTGCGAAGATGGAGGACACGAGCAGTTCCCTGCTATACTGGTCCTTCCCTGAGCCCCAAGAGCCCTAGGAGGCAAGCAGAAAAGTGAGGTTATGAACACTGCCCAGAGTCTCGGCAGGGCTGGCTTGGAGTTAAAGCCTACCAAAACGCCAGATGCATCCACAGCATAGTCTGTTTATTTTTAATACTCATTTTTAAACTTGTATCAATGATAGTTTTTTTTTATTTAATCACCAGTCCTATTTCTTGTCACATCATAACAGATACATTTCTCTTTCAGGGAATTAGTTCATGCTTAGGGATATTGAGGCTTCCCAAGTCTTATTAATTTCCTCATTGTTTTTTTTTTCCCACACCCATAACACTCAAATAGTCCCACTTCCTTTATCTGGTCTACAAGTACAGGAGTTAAGAGGTATTCTGCCAGGTGTGCTGGTGCACACCTGTAATCACACCACTCAGGAGGCTGCCAGAAAGAGGACAAGTCCCAAGGTTACCCCAACTACACAGTGGGATCCTGTCTCAAACACCCAAAGGGAAACAGGTAAACAGCATTCTGACACGTAATATTCAGACATGGTTAGGTTTGTATGACTAACTGTGAACAGTATATGGTACAGGTACTGTACCTGAAGTTCTCATTCAGCTAAGGGGAGTCTGGTTCCCAATAGCTCACCAAGACTGGATCTTCAGGGATTTGCCTTGGGTAAACCAAGTTATTAAAGGCTTATTCATGTCATGTAACAGCAAAGTAAAAAATTCAAAGGACAGAAAGTTACTCAAAAGGTTGTACATTCTTACCCCAAAACACTGCAGTGCACTGCTAATGTAAGAGTCGCGTGCTATGTATCGGAAGCTCTTGATGACAGCTATTTAAACAGTTTGTTTTGAATGTCTGCCTGCCAAGTAAGTGGTTGGTGGGTAGGTAAATTAGCCCTTGTTTTTGGAACACAATCTTCAGCAAAGAGAGCCTAGCAGAAGGCATGTAGAGTAATGGATCAGAAAATACATGCCTAGTACAAAAAACAAAACAAAAACAAAACCTTAAATAAGCTAGCCTGCTATCCTGATGTCTTCTGAAAGGCTGCTGTTCTATGAAAAAGGACAAATCACAGATCAGTAGGCTTGTGCTTTTATAATGGTAAAGGACTTCTCAGCCACGGTGCTTTCCTATGGGCCGCTGCTGTTTCCTCCATGTTCTCTTTAACATTGCTGGACCATGGCTGAACCTGAGCTGAGTGGGGGAACTGGCCTCCTGTCTCCAGCTTGCTCTGCAGGACACAGAGAAAGGATGAATTCATTTTCACACCTTGATTTTACCAGTCATAGAAGAAGCACCTGGATTATATCACCTTTAAATTCTCTAATTCTGTGTGTTGGGGAAAAAGACTTTTTCTACAATTTGGAAAACAGTGAAAATTCAAATATGTTATAGGCTTAGAACAAAACAATGTAAGATGAACATACAGGGAAAGGGGGTGCATGTCTAGTGAAGGGGAGTAGGACTTTCAAGCACGTCTTTCTGATTTCAAAGTTTATCACCTTAATTTGGGTACAGTGAAACACTTGGGAAGCTGAGGCTGAAAGAGTGTAGCCCAGGCTAGTATGGACTACATTGTGAGACCCTGTTCCAAATAGAAATCTGGCAAAAGAGGTTTTGGGACATATTCTAGCTCTAGAGAGATCAGAGAGACAGGACAATCGAATGTAAGTGATGATTTCTGATTATTCCTGAACAGGAGTTAAAAGAATATTCAGGTAATCAGGAAAAGTTGCATAAAAAAATACATTATACAATAATGTACCATGCTCGTGTTAGTGCCCTGCCAATGATGATCAGACTGAAGGCTCTTTTTTGTGGGAGACAGGGCTGGTGTCATCCATATTATAATTATCTAAGTAGGTCTGTGTGTATGTGACCCAAGTGACACACACACAAATTTAGCAACCAATGAATTTAAGGTAAAAGAACTGTAAATATATGTTTAAACAAACAAAAGTCCCAGTGGACATGCTAATCAGCTTTAACTGTGAACTTGGCCAACAGTAGAGTCTCCTGAGAAGGCAGTCTCAGTTGAGGGGTTGCGCAGGACAGACTGTATTATGGGCAAGCGTGTGCGGGAACTGTTCTGATTACTTACTGAGTTGCGATGGCTCTGACACTGTGGGCAACACCATCTCTAGGCAGATGGTCCTGACTAGGTAAGAAAGCTAGCTAAAAGTATAAGCCCTTGAGTGAGCCAGCAAGCAGTATGCCTCTGTGGTTTCTGCTTCATGTTCCTGCCCTGACTTCCCTCAACAACCTGAAAGTATAGGGAGAGATAAAGTCTTTCTTCCCCTTAGTTGCTTGAGGTCACGGTATCTGTCACAGCAACAGAAGAGTTGGTGAGATGTGACTTGGTGGGTAAAATCACCTGCCAACCTGGGACACACCAAGTGGAGAGAACTGATTCAGACCGACTCAGTTCATTGTCCTCTGACCTCTACGCGTGTGCACTACAGCGTGCATGCACACACGCTTGAAAACTATTATTCCAGCACCTTTCCACGCATGGAAATTCTTTTTACAGGTACTTTTATCCCTCATTCCTCGTAGACTCACAGATCCACTTCATAACTGTCTTTTTCTTCTTTTTAAATGACCCATTGAGTCCAATTTGTGCTAGAAGGGTCTTTTATGTGGGTGTGCTTTGAGACAGAATCTCACTATAATAGCAACACCAGGCTAGACCGGTGTTATCTTCCTGCCTCGGATTCTTTATCCCATTCTCCATGCTTTCAATGTAGCTTAGGGGCCTGTCCTGGAACTAGCTCCTATAGACCAGGCTGGCCTCGAACTCATGGAGATTCACCTGCCTCTGCCTCCCAAGTGCTGGGATTAAAGGCGTGTGCCATCCCCACCCAACTTCATGTTAGTACATTTCTGACAATATAAACAAGCCATTCCTAAACTGTTCCCACAACTGCAACCTTCCAGCCCAAGATCTTCTATTTTCCAGCCTTCTTCTGTTCCAAATTAACTTCTCCTCAACTGGACTTCACTGCTCTGGCTCCAGTATGAACTACAATTGTATGCTAATGATAAAAGCTCTCTTACAAAGACACGATGAAGTGTTTTCAAACTGTATACACAACTCACCTTAGATTTTGCTGCGTCACTAGTAGAGGAATCTGTGGGAAGTAAATAAAATGCGGTTAGTGGGAGCCAAGCCTCACCACTTTCAACAAACAATGCAAAACTTATGAAGAGGACAGGCACAGAACAAAATGTGAAAGCAAAACTCAAAACAATAGAACACAGTGGATAGTCAGAGCTCACAAAGATGCAAGCTGCACCACAGAAAGCCACCGCCATGAAAGGATGCTGTGAATCGTAGGCAGAACCAGCTCAATGAGAGGAATGGCAAAGGAGCCCTGTGCTGAACAAAAACGGACACTAGTGTTTGTCTTTCTAAATAGTGAGTCTAGCAATAGAGAAGCTCGAACACCATTTAAAATTATGTCCCACATCTTGCATCTGAAACTGATACACAATGCAGGACTTTCCAGACTGCCGGCTGCCCTAGCTACAAATAGAAACACTCACACTGGTGTACATGTTGATTTTTGTCAGACTGTCAGATTGGAATTTGTATAAAAATATCCCAGACGTGAATGGACACGACAGAGGCATTAGGGTGACCTTGCTCCCAGGTCACTTTTGGTTTTGTCAGATGATGCTTATTTTTGTGCGTGCCCCAGTTTCACATCCGTGCAGTCAGGGATCCTTTTGGTTAGTCTGGTTAAATTGCTACCAGGTTTGTAAGTATCTATTAACAAATGCTATTATGGAAATGGAAAAATGGAGACCATAATTTTGCTGTCTGGCAAAAACTCAGATTATACAATTAAAAAGAGGGTAGGAAGGGGCCAGCATGACGAAGAATAAATATCAATTTTAGAATTTTATCTTTGAAATACTGGGAAAATTATTTTCAAAATTAATGAGCTGGGCCCATGCCACGCCCCTTTCAACACATGGCTAAATGCTTTATGACTTTAAGAACCGGTGGACCATACCATGCTATTTCTCCTCAGGGTCTGCTTCAGAAATAACAAGAGACAGCAGAAAAACTTTTAAGAGAGTAGCAGTGATCTGTTTACAATATTCTTAAGAGAGACTTTACACCACAGATCAGCTCTGTTTGCATTTACAAGAACCGGGGGTTTCTGCAGACAAGGCAGCTACAGTGTGGACAGCAGTCCTCCTTCTTCCTACAGTTCCAGCTGTCCATCAGGGACATCACAGAATCCACTAGTGACATTACCGTGTGATAGACTCCTCCCACTTCGCCTGTGCAACATCAGTATAGATTTGCCTGTGTCAGTGAGTGCTGAAAAAGCCTTTAGAGCTAAAACAAGAACTAGAGACAAAGGGAGAACATCGTTGTGAAGTAGCATGCCAGATTAGTGCAACAGTTTGGCAGGAGACGGTTCCATCAGGAGCCTATTAAACACTAATACTTAACCAAGCATTAGGGTGGCAGTAGGAGAAAGAAGAAAATCAAGGTCAGTAGAGTGACTTAGACTGCGACATCTCTAGTGACAGAGGACACTGGATTGCGAGGGGCAGCTCAGGTCGTAGAGCATGCTGCTCTCACAGAACTGCCCCAAACGAGAACTATGCATTCAGTCTACCCATCCTTTCTGCCGTCACAGCAACCACACATCCAGCAGCATATATCTGTTTTACCTTGTGATGACTATTACACGGAAACTGTGAATTAAAACAACAAAACAAAACAAAACAGTGGTTTGCATGCTCATTGCTCTCATCTTCCCGTTCTGACAAACATCACAACTCCATGCACTGTCAATGGCATTATAGTCACTGGAAGGTAAGTGAGGTCAATCAGAAAAGGCAGATCGCAGCTTTTATTAGTAGAAAGGAAAAAGAGGAAGGAAAAGAAAAGAACTCATAGTGGATTGTTACTCATGGCTCATTCGCTGTTTCATGTTATAGGAATGTCAAATAACCTAGAGGTCAGTACTGCCCATTCAAGAGTTACCTGGTACATCTCCGGGGAGCACGCCTGTCCTTCCGATGTTGGTGAGTAAGTGATCTATGTTGGGTACTGGCTGGGAGTCTACTGTGCTCTCCTCCTGCACTGTCGTCTGTGGTTAACAAACAAAGACCTCTTCACCGTCTCTCCAAACAACAGTTAGTAGAAGACACACATTACTATATGGAACAGGGGCTTAGCTTCGCATTGGTTAGATGCCACTAATGATGAAGTAGTTACACGCTCATCAGATCAGCGACTGGGCACTAGAGACCTGCTTCCTGGGCACAGAGCTGACAAGAGCACACAAGGCAGAAGATCAAGACTGTCGTGGCATCAAGAAGGAGCCTGTGTCCCACATGAAAAGAGCGGAGCACGCGCACTGACAATACTTACGAGAGGTTCTTCAGCGCCCTCTTCTGTGAAAAACCAGTCATGCTAAAATTTAAAATAAAAAAGTGAGAATAATTAAATAACCCTCTAAGTGTATTTCTATCTCGGGGAACAGAACAGGAACAAGGGAAGTGTCAGAGGGGAAAAGTAAGCGCAGCCTTGGTCCTACCAGCCGTCAGCTGCGATGGAAGTGGCCTTTCAGGAAGAGGCAGTGTCAACTTACATGCTGGATGAGGGTCTCTACGATTCTGTACTGGTCAGGCATGTGCGTCACCATGTGGGTCATGTTGTCTTCTGATGTTCTCACTAGAGTTGGACCAAAAACGATCGCTAGGTTTCTTGGTTCCATCTGAAGGAAAGGAAGAAAGTGAAAAATAAGATTAAACCTCTACTGCAGGTCTGGAATTGTGATGTTGAAATTTATTTTTGGAAAGTTCTTTTTGATGAAAACCACAAAGAATGGATAAAGTAAAATGAATTCTTCCTAGTTATGGCTTTTCTGAGCAAATCCTAAAATGATAATGGATGATGGCTAATTGATTATTTGTGTTTTTCCAAGGAATCTTTGATTAGTATGAAACCAAATCAACTGGTTTTAGTTAACAAAGATATCTGGATTGGTTGGGGAAAAAAAAAGAAAAAGGTGAAATTAATGAATAATGAATTCCTCTTGGGAATTGGAAGAAAGGGACAAAGGACTTGGGAATAAATGCAAGGTTCCAGAGTCTTCTGTGTCATACATCAAAATCTTTAACAAAGGAAAACAAGTCTGAAATATCTTTTCTGATGAACTTTGACCTTATCCAAATCTCCTCAAGTTCTGAGCTTAGGCTCCCTGACTTTTTAGCATGAGATTCTTATCAGCTTGCATACTCACTGACAGGCTCTTCCGAATTTGTTTAATGATGACCATCACGGGTCCTGATGTGTTTATATTATGTTGAGCTTAAGGTTTGATTAAAGCGTTAAATAACTTTAACCAATCTCAGAACTCATCAGGGTATGAAAAAAATAATCATCAGGATCCCATATTACTAGATTATTTAAGAGGCACCACATGTGTATGTAATTCACCAGACAAGGAGCCTACGGCTTATCTCCTCTACTGAAGCAAGCGCCACTCATCTTTTAACCAGTGTTATATGTGTCATCATAACATAAGAAAGGAAAATAAAAAAATAAACTCTTACTAGATTTAGGATTTTCCTGGACTATTACAAAGAATTTGGGCACGACCATGTTTGTGTCTCCTTTTGGAATATTCAGTTATTTTGTTCCAACCCCTGTGCTGGTATGGCAAGAATGGCCCAAAGCCAAAAAATCTACCACATCAAATGCTTAATGTCAGATATTTAGTAGATTCCTGCCTATGGCTTCACTTAAGCCTTTAGACTATACCATCCTTTAATATTTATGTACAGAGACACGTTTGTCCGATGTGAGCAGCTTGCGGTAAGCTCCCAGATGTAAGATGTCCTATATGAGCAGCTTTCGGTTAGCTCCCAGATATAAGATGGCACTTGCCTACAGGGTTTTTGTTTTGTTTTGTTTTGGGTTGTTGGAAATTAATGTCCAAAAAATTAGGTTAAGAAAATGTCAAGGAAATAAAGTACCATATTGTCTTCAACATTCACTATTAATCCAGAAAAAACTCCAGAAGCCACCGTGGTGGCCTCTGCTATGGCTCCAGCACAGGCAGGAAGATGCAGGAGGGCAAGTGCTTAAGGACACACAGGCTCCACCGCTGAGGTCAAGGCCAGCCTGAGCTACCCGAGATCCTTCTCAAAAAAACAGAACAGAACAAAAAGCAAACCTGAGCCAGGTGTGGAGGCTCACGCTTTTAATTCCAGCACTCAGGAGGCAGAGATAGGATTTCTAAGTTTGAGGCTAGCCTGAGTTTACCTAGCGAATTCCAGGACAGTTATACTGAATAGAAACCCTGTATCAAAAAAAAAAACAGAACAACAACAGCGAAAAGAAATTGTGCAGCATAGACGCCTGCTAACTGATCCAGTTCTGAGGCTACGGTGAGTGGAACTGTTCCCTGATTTCCCTCAGTATGTCTGACGCAGTACATAGGAAGGCTACTGAACTTTGTACACTCCACCTGTCAGGGAAAATCAACTAGGAAATACTCCAGCCAGAATTCATTTTTTTTCTCCATAACTCAACAGGATCATCACAAACTTTAAATAATGACCCAAGTTAGAAGGAGAATCATTTGCAACCTCCTGACATAGTGGCCTTAGGTAACAATCACTCACTGGCTAAGCAAAAAGATGAAAAATGAAGACTAAAATGGATAGTGAAATACAATGCGGATCTTACCTAGTTATTTAAACAAATAACTGGAAAGATATTACCAAAAAAAAAAAACTGCTCAAAAAAACCTGAACATGAACTGAATATCTGAGAAACTGAGCTAACTGTGGGTGTGTACTGATGCGGTATTGAAGGAAGAAAAGTCCCACATCTGTTTAACAGGAAACTAAAGAAAACACTACTTTTCAGCGTGCATCATCTGGTGCCCTTTGGCTGGCTTACCACGCATATACGCCACCTATTTAAGGTAGTGACTGAAAGCTGAAAACAAAATAAAATTCTGACTCTCCCATTTTCCTTGCTGGACAGATGTCAAGTGACCCATATCCAATGAAGTGCCCTTCGCAAGAGTGACAGCGGCTGTCTGTGGGGCCTTTACTTCTGCGCGATCTTCAGAAGGACCCAGCCAGTCCAGTCTGATGCCTCTTAGGTTTCCTCTGTTCTCAGCACAGAGTGATGAAGGCCAGCCCTCTAACTGAGGCTGCCCAGAGTGTATTTCAATAGGTTGTACCTTGCGTACCTTATTTTTTTCTGAATTTTCTGCCACTGTCTTCAGATGAGCCGAAAGAAACTTGAGTGTTTCGAAATGATGTTCAGGCAGGTCATGAATCTGGAACATATTATTTTCAGAATGGATTTAAATGCTGTATTTGAATTGCACCTCCCCAACAAAAAGGAATACCTACTAATCTTTTTAACGTTCTCAGCCGGTCTAGAGGGTCTTCCTTACGATTGGCCTCAATGAAGTCAGCGTATTTATCTGGTAGTGGTAGAAATAAGAGAAGAAATTAACCTGCGTAGGTGAACTGCATTCCCCTTTCCTCAGGGCTTAATTTTAAACCACAATTTAAAATGTGTAAGATTTTTGTCTATCTTTAAAATATAAATCTCTGAAATTTACATGCTAGATACGGTTTTTAATGATCTCCAAGCCTTTCTAGGAGACAGAGAAGAGTTCTCTCAATGGGACTTTTTCAAACCTCTGTCTGCCATTCATTCAACCTGCCCATTATCCCCACCTCACACCAGTATCTAGCATGGGGTCGTGAAACTAAACCCTATGACCAAAGAAATCTGACTGAAACAATGCCATACTTAGCTAGACGACAAACAAAGGTGAACATAGGTCTTATTTCATTTTACTAAAGTGTATCAACTTTTGCAAATGATTTTTCACCAAAATTTATCAAGACTACAAATGAACAAAGTCAGTTCTCAACTATGCTTTTCATTAAATTTAGACCTGAGATAAATGTCATTTCTTCATCCCTCATATTGTTGTCCTGGTTAGATTTATTATGCCCTGGTTTCCCACAGACGGTGAGTCTTCTCCTCTGGCATGGTCTGAGGGAACTAACTCACCATTCGTAAAGAGAGGCTCAGGCAGCTTTCGGAAGAAGGATTTTAGTAAACTGCTTATCACATTCAGATCTCGCCATTTCTGGATATGCAAAACAAACAAAGCATTTTTGTGGTCAATATTATAAAAGAAAAAATGGATCAGTTATTCAAACAGAAATGAGCTTACATCATCTTGTATATCAATGTCAGTCATCCCCTTGTTGAGTTCTTCCTGCATGCTTGAAATGGCTGCATTGTTCCCAGGAACTCTGTAAATACCTGTATATTCAAGACCTCTTTCTTCAACTAATTTGCAACATATGTCAACGATCAATGGAATATACTGCAAAACAAGAAACCAGCATTTTATTTAGCACAGTACAAAAGTTTGAAAATGAATTCCTACTGACCATTTCTGATTAAATTACTACTCTAGTTCAGAGTTAAGATAAAAACTGTTCAACCCACAGTTACACTAAGAGAGAAAAGCGCTGACCAGATGAGCATGCAGCCCCTTTACCCAAAGGGCTGTAAACTCAGGCCCTACTATAATGGTCACTGACTGGTCCGAATGGTTGGGGGTCTCCTACCCGGTTGGTGTGGGCAGGCGGGCAGTCATCCAGTCTAACTCCGAAGGTCCCTGTGGCGGCTGGCTTTTTCTCAAATGTCTTCCTCACAATGCTTGGAATGCCTCTTCTCCAAGTGCCTTTGTCTTTGGGTGGACTGGTATCATCTTTTGATTGTTATTGAAAATAAGTTGACATTATAAAAAATGGAAACAAGACTCTTTGAATCACTTTAAAAGCCTACTTCACCGATGCTTGCATTGACTGCAGTCTTGTAACAATCTACACTTAGCACAGAATTCTCCTCCGATGCTGTCATGCCTCCACCCTGCCACATGACTGCCAGACACACTCGACTTCTTTACCATCTCAGAAAGAAGCAGAACCAACACGTCCTTGCCTTTGTCTGGCAGTGATACGCCTGGCCATTTATATCGGTAAAGATATGACTCTGTGCTCTCCTTCCCTCTCTCTTGATTACAGGGAAGGATGCCTTGGGCCTCACCTTAAAAGAAAAAGTCCAATAAGCTTCTTCTGTATTTACCAGGAGTTTCGAGCTAGCTAACCCTGGGTCTGCTGGCAAAAACAGCATCGTGAAGAGAGAACACACACTCACAACCCAGCTTAAGCTGGTTACACTTAGTTACCTCTGCTGAGAAGCTTCCTCTCTGACTCCTCCTTTGGAGAATGTGGGCTTTGAGTTTTTGGCTCTGATTTAGCACCAAGCAAAGTCTGCCTGATGCTAAGACTCTGGCGAGGTGTTTTCGGCAACTGTTCTGTTTTGCTGCTGAAAGAAAGGAACATTTCTTAATAACTGTATATCTGACATCTGAATTAATCATAGGCGTGGTGGGATTCTCACCTCATCAGACTGTTATATTCTTTGATTCTTCGACTGATTAGATCTCGGTTGGTAACTCCAGTGTCCTACAGAATGAGCAGAAGGTAACGTTAGAAAGTATGCTAGCAGACTATCAGAGGCAGAGGGTAACCCGTGTTTGAAGCTTGCTATTTTATCATTTTATTAATATAAATACTATGACTTATTCTCAGTGGAGCTGTCACCATGTGGCAAATGGTTCAAGTGCCTCCTTCCCTGTAAGTGAGTTTGCTATGTATTTTATGTACATATGTAATATCAATATAGTTTTTAGGTAACATTGATTCAGTAGATACTGAATTAATATGCTATGCAAAATGCATAATTGAGGAACACAAAGTCAGCTTCTTCTCTAATACCAGAATGAATGATCAGCATTCAATAATAATACTATTGAGTCAAAATGGAAAAATGCACCAGAACTTATTAATGCTTAACTTGTAGGAACAGTGAATTATGAGTTAAGTGGCATCAAGAGGGGCAGGTCTTCAAGAACCTGCTTTGTCCTATGTCCCAAGCTGAACTCAGAGGTGAGCAAAGAGGAGTAACTATTTGTAGTTACTGCAGTTACACACTGGCATGTGTCTGCAAACATTTTTTAAAATACCTCTTATTTTGAGTGTCAAGAAATACATGTAGGCACACAGGCAGAAAATAAGATCCTTGAAGAGACTGTGTTCTTTTTGGCTATCAGATTATTGAAACAATGGTTCTCAAAAAGTTAACCATGTCCCAGGGCTCTCATGCTAAAAGAAGCAAAGGCTAACATCATGCTCCATGTCAGTAAGAGGGGGCTTGTATCCCAGAAAAAGATTTCACTCAATTTTGTGACTTGTCAAAGCTGAGCCACAATGATGGACAGGATCACACCATGACCAGACCAGGACTGCTCAGCTATGCATGCCTTTCTGCCCTCTATTTAGACCCAAGCTAACCCTCATGCAGGGTTCTCAAGGATGGACCAGAGGCCACTAGAGCTCTGTGTTCCTCTTGCCAACAATATCGAATGACTCTCTTCTCTGCTTTTCACTATTACGTTGCCTAGGCTTAGGAAGACAAAGTGCACATGTTTTCTTTCCTCTGCAGACACTAGACTTTAATTTTCATATGTGTGCATGTACGAGGGTGGGTACAGATCATGGAATTACAAACAGGACCATGAGTAGGGAAAAAGAAAGAAAGAAAAAGGCAACAAAATGTTACGTGGCATGAAAGTGGAATGTAGGCTACTTGCAGAAAGAAGGGGACCAGAAGGAAAGGGGGTGAGGGAAAGGGATCAAGAAAGAAAGAGTTTTTATGAAAATGCCACAATATAGTTGGCAGTGGTGGTGCATGCCCTTAATCCCATCACTCAGGAGGTAGAGGCAGATGGATCTTTTGAGTTCAAGGCCAGCCTGGTCTACAGAGAGAGTTCCAGGACATCCAGGGCTACACAGAGAAACAGTGTCTCAAAAACCAAACCAAACCAAAACAAAAAACAAAAAAATAATAGACAAAAATAAAAGAAGAAAATGCCATAATGTATCCTAATACTGAGCATGCTGATTAAAAAGCTCAAGCAACTGTTTCAAGCTGAAATCTACCCTTCAGTTTCTTGACACACAATTCAGCTGACTGCAGTGAGCAGCGACAGAGCAAATGCAAGGCAGGAGGCAAAGCAGCCCAGAGAGGCGGCCCTCGCGGAGTGAGCCTTTCAGTGTCAGCTGAACGGTGGGAATGAACAGAGGAAAATTGTACACGCAGCGGCACAGCTGACGCAGCTGACCACGAGCGCCGAGTACCAGGCAGAAAGAGCATGAAGAATGTGCAAGGAGAACTGTGCTAATGATATGGAGGGGTGAGGAAAAGCTTGACTTCCACTGTACTGAAAATACCTTGACTATTAAAATCCTTGAAGCAAAGGCAACTCCTTGATGGTATAAGCCAGAGACTCTCAAAAATGTAAGGCATTATTCCTCAATTTTTTAAAAAAATGCCTTATAGCATGATTTTTCATAATACATGCTTCTTTAGAAACCCATGAGCATACCAGGATATAGTATATTTTTACCTACACAATTCCATTTAAAAACATCATTTCTTTGCCTTTACATAGTAACTTGTTTTTGTAAATGTTTTTACTGTAGCCTAACCCACAACAATACTAATGTCAGTATCCAGGACAAATGGGTAGTAATTTGGTCAAAAGGGTTCCTGCAGGTTTCTATGTCAAATGGAAGAATCTGAAGCACCCACAGACATTGGTATACCATGGAGTGTATCCTGACCCTCCTTACAGGTACCAGGGACAGCACTAATAATCAGAAGATAACATGGGGCTCCTCCCTGTAGTGTGCTGTGTCTGAAAAGATATGAAGAATATGAATATCCTATTTTTCTTGTTTAGTAATAGTTCTTTTTCAATAAATACAAATAATGTGGGTATACTTGAATTTTCTGTTTTAATGGCTGAAAATAGTGTAACTTATTTTTTATAAAAATAATCTTCTTTAATAAGTGTCAAATTTCATCCACATTCTTTGACAATCATACCTCTTCATTTAGGTTGCTACTTTCCTGGATAGTCTTGATCCACGCTAACATGTCATCTCTGTCTTCAGCCTGGAACAGGCACTCACAGTCAGACGTGGTGAGTCGGAACACGTTCCTCCTCTTCGTCTCACTGTATGAGATGTCTATCAGGCAAGCATTGACACTGATGGGCTGTTCTTCCTCAGATGGCGTTGTCTGCTCTCTTCTGTCTTTGTACAAGTAAAGGGAATGGCCCCGAAGTACAACATACATCTGTTTCCAAGGCCTAATGCTGCCACCAACACGCTGGAAAATAGCCAAGTGGTCCATGTCTATGAATACGCAATACAAGGCTAGAGCTCTGTGACAGGATCGGGACTAAGCAGCGCCTTTCAGATGCAGTTATGTACATGGGATAGCAATGTCTCATTTACTGAAGACACACGAAGAGAGGAAGGATAAAAAAAAAAGTCAGATTGCTCAGTGGGAAAGTTGCCTGCTGCCAAGTTCTATCCAGAGACCCACGTAAGTGCAAGGGAACTTGACTCTCACACGCTGTTTTCTGACCTTTACATTCTTGCCATGGCATAAGAACAATCACATGATACACACTTACACATACAATAAAAGTGTAGCTAGGCATGGTGACTCATGTCCAAGCACACAGGAGGCAAAGGCTGTGTGAGGACAGCCTAGTCTACTTAGCAGGTTCCAAGCTATACAGTGAGATCCCAACTAAATAAGCAAATAAAAATTTTAAACGTAGTATTTTTTCAAAACAGTAGAGGTGGCTGAGGTGGTATGGGTGTGGATGAGTTGGCCCCAAGGGCATGAAGTAGGAAAACTGATCCCTTCCCTTGATGGTTGCTCCAAGGTGAGCTAGCCAAGGCTACGGTATGGGGAGCTCACCCTAGGGATAATGTTGAGGGAAAGTTGATCAGCAGGCTGATCAACCCAGGTATCACCCAGGCCCATAATCAGAAGTATGACTTGGTTCACCCCAATATCCACCTCATCTATGAACTGCTGGAGCATGTGAGGCGGGCGGACCTGCAGATCCAAAGCTGTAAGATCTCCGTGGAGCAGGACAACATCAGGATATCTAAGAGGAGTCCCAGTATCGCTAGGGCAGCAGAAACCAGAGGCCCTGAACCAGACCAATGACTCTGCAGCAAATACTTGCAAGTAAAATTATGGACCAAGGTAACTGTGACTCACTGTGTGACATGACAGCTTCCACACTGAGACTTTTCTTTTTCTTTCCTTATTTTTTAAAATTTATTGTGGAGGGGGGTAGCGGGTGGACACGAAGGTACGGGGAGATGAATGGAATTGGGATGGATGATGTGAAATCCACAAAAAAATCAATAAAAAGTTAAAAAACAAAAGGTAGTACTTTTTTTTAATGTCACATATATACCAATTAGGGAATGTATTTGCATCAACTTCAGATGGGAAGGCAAAATGAACAACTAACCCCAAATACATGCTACAGAAATGTATTAAAAGTGGCCATTAACTATTTGCTTTTATTTTTTTAATAACGATTATAGGAACACAAAAGTAGCAAGGAAATTTTCATAATTAAAAGAAAGAAATCCAATAATATACTTTTTTTCCTTCTGGTGCTAGGGGATTGAATCCAGAGCAGTGCTCAAGTGCTCTACCATTAAGCTGTATCTCTGACCAGAAAAAAAAAACAAACAAAGGAAAAACACAAACCATTATACAAGTAAAACTCAAGTTTTAAGACAGGGGCATAATCAACACCCCAAAAAGAATGTACCTGAAACAACACACAATGACAGAAAATGACATCATCAAAGTTACCAGCTTTGCAGGGTAAAGCAAGAGCATCCATATCCAAGTATGTTTGCAAATATAAATTCTGTCGCAACACTAAAATAATTCTTATGCAAAGGTTTTATTGGGTTGGATTCTATTTACTGAAGCACCATGTTGATACCACTATACACATTCATATAATTCAGTGTTTATAAAATAAAATGAAACAAAAATTGAAAAGAACTAGGCTAAAGATTTTTAGATGCAAGTAAGAAGAATTGCTATCTGGTGACTTAAGAGGCCTCTCTGATAACCCATCCTGGTAGTAAGAGATGAGAGTTCCTCCTTAGACCCCGATTTCCCGTTCACACTGGCACACTGTAAGGCAGTATACTCCATATGGAGCTGGTGCTCAAGATGAGAAGCAGAAAACGACCCGACTGATGAGATTTCCCCTGTTAGGAATGCCTGGGCGCCTCACAACCTCATATATGTAAGAGGTTTCATCAGGCCTCACTTCTGGTGTCACATGAGCTAAGAAAGCGCACTTACTTTGCCCTTATCGGTGATGAGAGGTCGGAACTGGAGCCACCCTTCTTTGGCGGCATCACTGAAAACCTCAGAGGAAGAATCCTTCCTGGATCCAGAGTCCTCTGAGGACTTCTGGCTGTCCGTGATCTGCAGAAAGAGCCAAGAGAACACTAAATATAAATAGTTAGACACAGAAACTGTGCTGGCAAAATGTCATATTTAATGTTCTAAGTAAAACACTGTGGAAAGTTTTGGGGTTAGAAACCATACCAGAAACACTTCTAGCACTTTTTGTAAATGGCGAATTGGCTTCCATTGTTTTTTAAAAGCCATCTACAGAATAGTGTGACTTCGTTAGTCTCATGGATTCACATTTTGGCAGAAAAAGATAATGGGCTGGACAGACAGACAGACAGACAGACAGACAGACAGACACACACACACACACACACACACACACACACACAAAGGCGGATGGACAGAAAGACAGACAGACAGACGGACAAACAGATTGTCGACAAACAAGAAGCCAAGTCTAGTGGGACACCTATAATCTCAGCACTCAAGAGGCCGCAATGGGAGGCGCTTAAGGTGTGCAAATAATGAATCTATGTCTAGTTTACAGAGTTTGGGGCCAGCCTGAGGTACAAAGTAAGTTCAAAGCCAGCCTATCCTATACAATGTGATCATGCTTCAAAACAAAATGATATAAAAACTTGGAGACAGAAGTGAGGAAATTAGCCATTCGTGATCTGTGCTTCTGGAGAATGGGCATGGAGGGACTGGGAACTGGATGACTAAGCTGGTGGTTGCCGCAGCAGCACCGTAACAGGCCAGAGATGGAAAGTTCAGGAAGAATGCATGGCTGATGAACACATACTTATCACTTTAATATGTACAGAGCTAAGGAAAAGTTGGTCTGGTCTTTTGTCTGTGGTAGAAAGGGAAGGAAGCCTGAGAGTGAGTAAGGCCATCCTGTTGCACGGAGAGTGGTTTCTTTTCAAGGACAGTCATGAGGAGGTGAGCGACTGGAGAGAAGACCAGGAGGGATGAACCACTCAGGCTATGGCTTAGAGACACAGCAGACAAGCCTGCCGTCAAGGAGGGAAACAGAAGAAACAGTTTGTCTTGAGCAAATGGGAGAATAAAAGGGGAATTAATGAGACAGAGAGAAGGGATAAACCATCTAAGGGTAAACAAGAGCTATGCAAATCTGGAGCTGCTTACTAAGTATGTGGATGAAGACGTCAGGTTAAGTAGTGACTTACAGGAGCTGCTGTTCTGGGAGGAAGCCAAGGCTAGCAAACAGATTCCGTGAGGCCTCTGAATTAATCAACAAGGAAATCAGCGTACAGAAACAGGCTGAAACTAGCTTTAGGCATTCCAAAATTTTAACTGTGCAAAAGAGCCAGCAAAGAAGACTCAGATGTACTCTTAGAACTCAAAGGAAGAGATGACGAAGTAGAAACAGCAGATGGAATTGTGGAACTATTCTCGACAAGTTAAACACCCAGGTAGCCATCATCTGTGAAGCTGAGCGACACTGGCAACCTTGGCACACTTATGATTCCCATGCATGTGAACTGAGGGGAAGAGACCATGTATGTGTTTTTCAAGGTTTATATAAAAAGTACAAAATGGGAGTTGTAGAGAGGTACACAGATTCCGGGAGTTTTCTGTAACAGATGATATCTACGGGACAGTGAACAGGACTGGGAAGACTACCTTGCAGGAGAGGATGGGGCTTGGGAAAGCAAGTATGGATGGGTACCACGGAAGTTTGGGTGCTTGCTGGCTTTTGGCAAGGCCATGTTCCAAGCACAAAGACTTTAAGGAAAGAGCAAGAAAGGAAATAATTATGCAGTTCCAGCCATTTCAAGGGCAGCAAATTAGAATATTCCTGTCTAGTCATTCCTAAATTTTCAATGAAGTGCAAGGAAAGGTAAAGAAAATGGTACAGATGTGGTTAGAAGCAGCAGGTAGATTTTGAGGAGAGAAAATAAAACACAGAAGGGCTGCTTGGCAGTTTGATTTGGGCCTTGAGTTGTTAATGAGAAAAATCAGTCCAACGTTTGTAGGGCATTATATACTTGATGAAAATGTTTAGAAATTAAAAACATTTATTCACATGTCTTTCAAATCCAGTGGACATGGTTTTAAAATGCATATCATTTAAATACAAAATATCCAAAAGAGAAAATACATACTTTTCTTTGATGGACTAAAGTAAACTAAGGTAAATAAAACACTGATCATTTACTCGGTATCTTAAAAATATTAAATACTAACCTTGATTCCCTTCAGGCTAGACACGTGCTTAAAAGATCTGTTGGAGAAATATATAAATAAGTGTAATAAGTATAAAAAACTCTTTATGTAAGAACTGACTACTACAACTAAACTTTCATTAATTAATGAGTTGACATTTCATCCTAACCATGCTATTGATATGTTCATTGTTCAATATAAGTGAGAAAATCTAAGTTATAAACATGTACATTTTCAATTCATTGATAACAGTTTTCTTAGCTTTAATTTGCCAGGTCAGCTGTTTCTGCCTTTTTTGCTTTAAGTGTGCAACTTTTTAAAAAAATATTTCTTTATATCAAAGGAAAAGCTACCTCTGGGCTAACCATTGGGCTTATTACCTACAGCAGGCAGCCCACTATAGCTCCTTTGCCCTATGCAGCTAATGAAAACCCTGGACCTTGAGCGCAACAGTCAGCGAGCTGTCAGGTAGTGCTAGCCACACCTGTGCCCTCTACCTGCAGGAGGCAGGTCTTGGTGTTCACAGGTAAGCACTGGGGAACCTGGAATGTGAAAAACACAGAGCTCTTCCTTCAAGAGAAGGAATGCAAGACCTGTTTTCTGCCCAGAAGGCGGAAGCAGATGTGCTTCCTAGCCTGCTGACTCTCTGCGCAGCCTGAGACTTTCTGACAACGCACTCTCCACCCCCAGAACACTGTAAACTTGTTTTTCTCAGTCAATCTATAGAAGCTATCCTTACGGAAGGTGTCCCAGTATTCTTTAGCAAAGAGTTTCAATGTAGTTACGTCCAATTTTCATTTAAAAAAGGTTTATGTATGTTTTGCTGTGCATGCAGGATTGAGCTGATTATCACCAGAAGTTTCCACTAAACTGTGATTTGCTTAAACATGCCTAAAATAAATCACTCAAAGTCGGACTCCAAAAGTTTGAACCAATACTGGCTACTGAGTTAATGGTAAACCAGACTTCTTGCCTATGATCAACTTTCTGCAGGCCCATGAAGGCCAGAGACACCCCCTTTTAGCCCACCCCAACCCTTAACCCACCCCACTGCACACACTCATCCACCCACACTCTGAGTGCTTTCGAGAATGGGAGAAACAAATGCTGTCAATGAAAAAGCTTCAGAAGACAAGTCAGTATTAATTCTTCAAAAATAATTAAACGTTTAAGATGTGACTAAATATATCATTGTTCTCTCAAAAACCACCTCAACCAAGAAGGCAATTAGAAACAGGTATACAAACTCCTTCCTGAAAAGTACCCGGAGACACTGAAACTCTTTACCAGTAGGATAGAAAGAGAGGGCTAAACTCCTGGAGAGAGCCTGGCTCACAATTTATGTCCACCTCTGGGAACAAATACTGTAAAATTAACCCCAATTTTTGTCTATCTGTAGTGTATAGCTTTCAATAAAACATGGCATTGTTAATAAAAAAGACAATTCAAAAGAAAAAAAAACCCAGTTTCAAGATATGGAAGATTATAAAACCAGGCACAGACATGAGCTGGACTTTGGAATTACTAACTACTCTCAAGTAAAGGTAAAATTGTCCGTGAACGAAGAAGAGCAGGTAAAGGCTGTAAATAGAGAGTGTAAATAGAGTGTAAATAGAGAGTATACCACTAGCTGCGTAACTCAAATAACATCGCAGTTCACGGTCTCCCTTCCCCATCCACACATGGGACACAGGTGGAGTTGTGACAAACTCAGAGTCACCACCTAGCACCAGCGAGGGGAGGAAAGTGAGGAGGAGCCACTACTTGCAAGCAGGTGTGTGGGGGGCGAGGCATTTTGTTCACGAATGTGGCCACTGTAAGCTGTTCATGCTATGGTAAATAACTCCACACACTCATGCATGCTTCCCTAACTGAACTCGGTGGGACACACGGACATAGACAGTGGAGTGTAGTCTAGTTGAGAGGGAGTTTAGCAGTAGATGGAGGAGACAAGAGAAGGCAATGGGGAGTTAATAGTGTCTAAGACATTGTACATGTGTTGAATAAGTGAGGAAACACATAGTGCTGCCATCTTTGAAGGAAGCTGTGCACAGCCGTGTAGGGAGAAGCCTGAATTGTGTGGCAAAGGCTTACATATCCAACCTGGCATCATAAGGAAAACTCCTACTGAGCTGGAACATTGTGCCCTGGCCGTATCTCAGAGGAACCGCTCTTACGCGACTAGTCCTAGAAGAACTAATTGTATTAGAATACAAATGACAATCTGATGAAAGTGTAAAAGGACAGTAAACAAACTGATGTAAGAATTGCTCACTGATAAAAGCTGTCAACATTTCCTAAACTCATCTATGAACCAAACACTGTATCAATAAAAATATCCACATGAAAAAGAACTAGAAAATCATGTTTGAAGGTTCAAGTAATAAAATAAAAAAATAATCAGCCGAATTTTGAAGGAACACATCATAACGATGAGTAATAACCTTACCTCATTATAAAACCACTCTAAATAGCTACAGTCTGGGGGAGGAATAGCGTCTTATAGCTATAACATATAAAGCATGTTGCTAGAATAAAAATATTACTTCTAAAATAAATTGGATGCTACTTTGATACTATTCAACTTGCATTTCTAATGTCAAAGCTAAAAATAAGACAACCTGAAAAGCTAAACTCATAATGAATACCATTTGCATAAAAACATTTAAAGCAATACGTCTGAGACTCACAGTTTTGCGTCTTCTCTGTAATCATCCAGCCCTTCATCATAGGATTTTGATCTTTCTGTCTTTGAGTTGTGCTGGCCATCTAAGCTGGGAGGTCCAACAGACTCTGCAATTCAGACCCAGCATTGATACTTTTTAAGTGGTCTTTCAGATTCTTTCAATGGTAACAAGATTCGCTTGCCATGTATTTGTGAGGTACGGTGCAGAATCACTTTAAACGTACCTTGGTCATGGGAGAGCTGACGTCGAATCAAAGGAGCGGAAGTGGTGAGGCTGGGAGGAACTGTTGCTATGGCGGGGACCTGGGAGGGAGAGGCTGAGATCACAGCAGACGCAGGGATGTGTGCAAGCTCATGATCAATGCTAGGGCTGGTTGGCTCGTCTGGAAGGAAGGAAAACAATTACTGAACCTTAAAGACGTCACAGTTGACTGTTGTGCCTAAAAAGGCCAAGTGAAGGTTTTAGCAGTCATCAAACCATCAATAAAATGACACAGCTCTCTATTAAAATTCACTTTACACAACCACTACTGTAGTGCTGCCAATAACTCTGAAAATATAAAAATGAATAATTTCCCCCAACAATGTATAAATGAAAACAAGCATAGCAAAACATATAGGTGTAAGACCCTAAGTGAACCAAAGCAAATAATCAGCCATTATGTAAAAATTGATTTTTTTCAAGTCTGTCTGTCAACTCCCCCCAACACAAGTCTTTAACTTTTGTAGCAGGATAACGAAGTCCAGTATGTAACACCCAGTAGAAGTGTATCAGGGCATTCTAATTTATTTGGCATTTTTATGTAAATCATAAAAGTCCCTTCTTTCCAGGACAGGTGTCAGTCATGATTTTCCCATTAGCTGTGTGCAGACGGACTTGTAGAAATGGGAAACTCTATGCTGTGAGTTCTCACCGTCTCTGTCTGTTGCCATCTGTCAAACAAATTTGTATACATGCATGACAGCTAACATTAACGGTGCTTATTATGTGCTAATACGTGTAAATGGTTTACATACCCTACTTCCTGTAAAAGAAACAAAATCTTGAAACATGACTTTTACAGACTACGAGAGCAAGACAGCAGAAGTCAATGGTGTAACCTAAGCCAAGCCTCACTGGCCCTGCTTGGCACCTGTCTTCCAGTTAGTGAGCCATAACTTTATTCTACGTTTTTACTCTTGTGAAAACATCAATGATTTACATTCTAGTATTTTAGGCTAAATAAAATTTAATAGGAGGGAAAAACTATAAGGCATAAGATTAGATGTCCCATAATAGAATCCTTTACAAATAAACTAGTGATATAAAACAGAATTTTGATCACTTGGTTCAGAAGGTCAAACACTAATTCTGAGTAAATTCTAATAATCTTCTATCATTTTATTGATCAGTATTTTAGCAAAAAGAACTAATGTTTGAAAAATTGTAACTTTTCTATTATATAACCAAAAGCAATAAATCCTTTAATAAATACAAAGAGTCAACGAAACAAAAGACTAATTCTCTGCAAAGATAAGCAAGATTGACAAACCTTTAGTCACACCAAAGAAAACAAGAGATTTTTTGAAATTAAGAGATGGCAACACCATTATAACCAAAAAAAAATTTTTTATTTTTTAAAAAATTTAAAAATGCAGGCAGCATGATTATTATGATGATTAATATTCCACTGCCAACTTGATCAGACTTGGAATCATCATGGAAACACATCTCTGGGTTTGTCTATGGTGGTATCTCCAGAAGGCATAACTAAAGAAAGAAGGCCTGCCTATGTGGGCAGCACACTTGATGGGGAGGTGTCTCAAACCAAATAAGGAACACACTTGAGTACCAGCTTTTCCCCACCCTCTGCCTTCCCACTGCAGATACAATGTGATCAGCTGCCATGAAGACTCCATCAAAAAACTATGAGGACATAGGCTGGGGGTGTGCCTCAGTTGGTAAACTATGAGGACATAGGCTGGGGGTGTGCCTCAGTTGGTAAAGGCGTAGGGTGGATCCCTAGCTCTTCATGAAACCAGGTGTGGTGGCACACACCTCTAATCCCAGCACCCAGGAGATAAAGACAGCAGAATAAAAAGGTCAAGGCCAGAGTTCTAGCTCATCCAGGGCTCCCGCTGAGACTCTATCTTAGAAATAAAACTTAAGAACAACATAACTGTCATTACATTATTACAAGTAAATAAATCTGGTCATACTGCAGGACACAAAAATAGCCATCACCATAAAAAACAGCAGCCTTTCTATATGCTAACCAGTAGCTTTTGGGCTATCTGAAAGTCATGAAAATGATCCCATTTGCAATGACTTAGAAAACCACACAGAATCTTGAAAAAAAAATGAAAGCAAATGATCACTGTATCGAAATCATAAAGCACCAATAAAAGAATTCAAAAAACAAATAACTAAAAGATGCCTTGTGCTCATGAATGGTTAGAATAAATAGTTTTAAAATGTCCATGCTACCCAAGCAATCTACAGATTTAATGGGATCAGTCCTTATTAAAATATCAAAAAGAAGCTTCATAGGTGAGACCCTCCTGTTTACAGCCAAATGACCACACCATGAGAGACAAGGAGTTTCTTCAAGATGCAGTGATGTGGGATTCCCCTCTCTATGCTGTTAATATGCTTTATTGCCACTCATTAAAAAAGAAGCTGCTTTTGGCCAAGCTTAACAGAGTAAAGCCAGGTGGAAAATCTGGACAAAGATTTAAAGAGAGAGTAGGCAGAATCGAGGAGACACCATATACCTGCCAAAGGAGACTGAAGCCCCAGAACCTTACTGGTAAACCACAATCCTTATGGTAAAATACAAAGTAATAGGAATGGGTTAATTTAAGATGCAAGAATTAGTTATAAGAAGCCTGAGCTAATAGGCCAAGCAATGTTTTAATTAATATAGTTTCTGTGTGATTATTTTGGGTCTGGGTGGCTGGAAATAAACAAGAAATCTCCACCTACAAAATGGTGTGCCAACGTGGGGCTGACCAGTATGGCCAGCCACACAGTTCAGGTCTAGGTGCTTGTATGCCCACTTGGGGTCAGGAGGAAAGTGGCTGAGAGCACCCCACTAAGCACCAGCTTCGCACCCACGCCTGGGCAAGCAGCTGGATCACATCTGCTAGGCACATGTGTACAGGCAGGAGAGCATGGCGGATTCCCACCGCCACACACAGAGGTATTTCCAAGCCATACAATGTACTGCATGGCAGATTTAGTTTTAACTCAGATAAAAAGCATTTATGTGCTGCACACTCTTTCCTCAGAGTTAAAGTAGTGAGCGTGGCTCTGAACAGCAGTCCCAGAGCTGGCGGTTAAGGTACCTCTGTCATATTAAAAGGCTGAGAGAGGCAGAGGAAGCAAACCAGGGCCACTGCAACCAAGCTGCATACCATTTTAAAAGTACTCATGGTTAGAAAAAGATTACAGATATGCAATAAAGACAGATTCAGACAGAAGTAAATAAGTAAACAGGTCATAGTGTGTTTAAAAAATTTACACAGGCTTCAGAGAGAAAAAAAGTATAGACAATTACAAAAATGGTTTAAAAAATAAAACAAAGTCTTTAAAGAGACAGTAAAAGTAAAGTAAAAGAGTACAGACAGTCATAGATTAAAGGAGTAAAGAAAAATAAGCCACATAAAGATACACAGAGAGTCTGGATTATGTATATTATTGTGTTTTCATTAAATTTTTTGACTACAAAGGGACATTTGATTCTAGGGTTTCTAAGCTAAACCAACATATATATTTCAAAGGTATCTTGACTTCAAAATTTGGGTCTAAGGATATGTTACTTTGGAAAAGAGATTTTGTTTCTACAGAGGATGACAACCTGTAGATTCCTTCCAGACTATTGTGGTTTGATAGACTAAGATCCCCAAAAGATCTCCATGAACCCCTCCCCCAAATACTTCACCCAACAAAGAGCAGGAAGCAGTTTAGAGAGAACTATGCCCAAATTCCCAAATATTGTTTATAAATACTGTTTTCATCTAAGGGGGATTTGATATAAAGATGAATTTTGCATTGGTGTGGATCTTGGTCTATTGATACAAATTTAAGGTCCATTCTGTTATATATGTTTCTGCTCTTATTTAAGGTATTGTGTTTGTGCAGCTCATTTAAAAATGCAATATATAGTTAAGAAATACAGATAGATATTTATAATAGTCATTTATAATAGTCAAACTTGTAGTCATTTTAGTTAGGTTTTCTAGGTGTACAGAGATATATTTTAGATGGATAGTTATTCATCAAATCTTTCAAAGACCTACAGAATATGGCATTTAAAATGTTTTAAGAACTTAGACTTTTCTCAACAGTGAGACATGTTTGCTTCTGGCAGTACCAATTACTTCAGAGAGGTTGATGGGCATTGAAGAAACTCGTTATGGAATTTGCCTTCAATGTGACAAGGCTAGCTATTTGGGCAAGAAACTGCTCTTGCCTGGACTGCTTGATAGTATGCTGTATAAACTGGACATACAGGAACCACAGAGAAAATGACTGCTGATGTTGCCTAAAGAAGGTGAGACTGTCCTTCGGGTTCCTACTTCATGAAAGAGTCTGTCAGACATTCTGCAGAACACAGAAGAAAGTGACCAACAAACTGCCAATAGAGGCAAAACAGTCTTTCAAATTTCCTGCTTTATGGAAAAGTCTGCTAGATACTATGAGCTTGTAAGCTGAAGATGGATGCCCCAATGTTTGATTGTCTAGGCAATAAGATGTCTCTGTCAATTCTAGAGTTTTGCAAGTTTCTTATAATGCATTTCCTGTTTACATAGATAATATTATATACTTCTGGAGTCTTTGATGGAACTGAAGAAAGATAGTTATAATTATAAAAGATAGATTAGATATAAAACTTTAAACTTACAAAGATAGGATTGATGGTAGAATATTTTCCTTAATTTGTCAAATGTAAATAAACTAAATATTGTAACTATAATTCTTGCTTGATAACTGTTTTATTGTATATAATCTTGCTATGTTAAAGTTAAGACCTTCCTTTCTAATAAGACAGAAAAGGGGAGGTGATGTATGCTATGTTTTATTGGCATTAGCTAATAAAGAAGCTGCTTTTGGCCAATGGCTTAACAGAATAAAGCCAGGCAGAAAATCTGAACAGAGATGTAGAGAGAGAGAGTAGGCAGAGTTGAGGAGATGCCATATAGCTGCCAAAGGAGACAGACGCCCCAGAACTCTACTGATAATCCACAAGCCTCATGGTAAAATATAAAATAATAGGAATGGGTTAATTTAAGATGTAGAAGCTAGTTAAGAAGAAGCCTGAGTTATAGGCCAAGAAATGTTTTAATTAATATAGTTTCTGTGTGATTATTTTGGGTCTGGGAAGCTGGGAATGAACAAGCA